GGATGCACCACGTAGCGTCGCGGCGTCGCGACTAACCGGCTCGAGATCCCGCATATGAGGGAATCCGTGGGATATAGTAAAGTCGGAATTCGAAAGGGTGAAAATGTGAATGACGATCCTATACACAAATCTTTTTAACCGGTGAATGAACTTCTCAGATTATTGTTTTCACTACTGTCTGAAACAAATCCAAATTCGGGTTTTAAGGAAGTTACCGGGTTTCGGAAATTATTCACGTATTTCGGTACAGCATAATAATCGATGAATGCAGACCGTTCTTCAGGTTTTATTGTAAGTAACGTCCGAGACATTGGTGTGAGTAGTGATGATGAAATCTGAAAATGCATAACAGTAGCTAACGAATTCAACTGCCTCGAGATAACCATATGCTGTTAAGAAATAGTGGCACTTTCCAGGGCAATGAAAGAGAATAATTGGTTTTATCCAATAAAAAGTACCGATTGGGAAGCATTGCATGGGCTCCACAGCTTAGCAAAGCGACAGAAGGTCAACATGAGGCATATTAAAATTATGTGGTCTAGCAAGAAAGCCTCGAAATATCACCTCATACATGACTTTTTTATTTTATTTGACCCGTCTCCACGTCTACTGTGCTGGCGAGTTCCCAATTGGACCGCAGAGAGTGATTTTTTCCCAGACAAGTCCGGTTCCAATTTGCCGACCCCGGAGGGATGAAAGGCTTGGTTGGCCCGGAGCGGAGTCGAACTAACACCATGCTCTTGATGACGAACATCACTATTCCACTGTGCTATCCGCCCTCTGTATATGACTTTAACTAGTACAAAGTTTGTGTCACTTTCCTTCTTTTAAGCGAATGTGAATGACACTGGTTTTTAACTCCCACGACCGACTTTCTATTAACCTCGGCATTGATCAAGTAATCCTTCGTATTTTTGTTGAGCAAACGCGAGGTGTTATTATTCTTTATTCACGAATAAGCTGACGTTTGGGCGGATTTCACCTTCCTCAGAGTCTGGAAAGGTCAAGTTGATAGCAATCTACTCGGCCAGACGCCTCCATAACCAAACAAGGAAACTCTAAACCAAGATTTCGACCACACTGAACACAGCTTTGCACACTCACCGCTTTCTATGAGGTTTCCACTAAGTATGGCACGTAGAGACCAGGCAAACATAGACCAAATACTCCGCTAGGCACGCATAAGACCCAGAGACATAACGGGGAGGACTTTAAAGTATGTGTCACGATCCTAGCACGCGAATCAAGAACACAGACGCGAAAAACTCTCGAGGCATTCTGGATTAACTCCAGAAATCCGAAAATGAACCGCAGGGAAGAATGCCTCATTATCACGCGTGATATAGGGCAGTATATAAGACTGCTATTCTGATGGGAGGGGCACATTACGCTTCCATGTGATTTCTGTGCGGCTGGTCTTCACGCGACATACTCACTGGAAGCCTCATAGAAAGCGGTGAGTGTGCAAAGCTGTGTTCAATGTGATTGAAATCTCGGTTTAGAGTTTCTTTGTTTGGTTATGGAGGCGTCTGGCCTAGTAGATTGCTATCAACTTGACCTTTCCAGGTCCTGAGGAAGGCAAAATCCGCCCAAACGTCAGCTTATTCGTGAATAAAGAATAATAACACCTCGCGTTTGCTCAACAAAAATACAAAGGATTACTGGTTTTAAGCCTTTTTGCAAAAAATATACCCTTTCCTTAATACTTTTTACAGAAATCTGGTGTTTGTTGTTTATACCAATTACTCCCTTGAACGATTTATCTCTAGCAAAAATGTTGCGGTCACCCATCAGCATGTCCTATATATGAGGCACGTCTTCTCCCCGGATAGCCGAGAGACCCGTACCAGAACCTTACCAGACTGGGTTACTAAAGGCTCGACATTATCTATCGTGATGCTGTACCATTGTTAGAAACCGATATCGCTTTGAAAGTAACCTGGTCGCATAGCAGCAAACTTCTCTGCGGTCCATTAAGAGTATCGAATTATTAGTTGCAAATATTTTGTCGTAAGAAAAAACCTTCAACTATTCAAATGCTTTCCTATAAACGCTTAAATGCATAGACGGTTAATGCATACTGGTTTTGCGAGCTTACGGACTTCGTCCACATGTTTGGTTGTCTGGCAGCAGTCGTCCGTTAACCCTTTCACGACCATTCGCATTGATATCAATCTGTACGTTGCTGTACGTTCCGGACCATACACCTTGACCTCAATGTGCATCACAATTGCGCTCCAATGATACGTGAGTCCCATCGGCCTGTCACACGAGAGTGGCAGAGGTCGTGAAACAGTTAAAGGTGTTTTACTTCATGTGATCACTCCGACTTGAGAGTCAGAGTTGCCTTTTTGGCGTTTTGGTGAGATATAACATTTTCGATACAATGCCTTCTCTTAAATTCACTTTTCAGCAGTTTTTGACCTTTTCATATTTATCCGATGAGCCCTGCAGGATTAATTGAACACGTGTCTTACGCGATCAATCATTTTTATAACCTCACAATGAAATCCTTAGCTATCGAAATCCACTGCATCACGATTTTTCAAAGCCGGCAACCATTTAAACTCTCTACAAATATTCAGCCTTTTCTTGGATTATTAAGCCAACATGATGTTGGTATAAAACTTTTATTCGGATAAGGTTTTAGCGCCTTCGTCTTCTTTAGAGTCTGGTTGATCTGACTTGATTGCCCACATCCTTTCACCTTGGCGCTGTGGGTCTTCGTATTCGTTTCGAGTCGAATCCAGTGAGAAGAGCATCGCTCGAATAAGTTCGTTAAGAACTTCGTGTTGGTTCAACAACCTATCACATCGGAAGGAACTCTACAAACATCTATATTTTAGTTATAAACGGAATTCATCGAGCCATCTAGAGCTCATCGAACCTCACACCATACTGAGAAAATGTTCCGAAAAAACCACTGAACCTTTCCTTTCCATGCAGACCTAGTGAGATGTTTGACGACGTCTAACATTTACATCTATACTGCCTCTTTATGTCTCCAAGCAGATTTTTAATTCTAGGATTTCACTGTGGATTTCTACAGTATTTCTCCTGGAGGATTCCTACAGTTCAACTAAGCTGTATGCCGTTATGGCGGTGTTCCAAGGTCTGAAAAATGTGGAACGTGTTGAAATCTATTGTGAAACACAACTTCTATAATGCTGAGATATTTGCAAAACTCCGGACCGCAGGTGTCTGCAGTGCGGAACGAACGCGCTATTGTCCTTTCCGGGGAGTAACGCGTTCACCACCACACCATGAGGGTCATTCGTTTCGTTTGTCTATCAGCGCCATCAGCAATCACCCGTCAACGAGATTGATCTGGGAAGCCCAATCGGCATTGAACCCAGTTAAGCTGAGGCTATAGTTATAATCACAATTTTAACCTTTTTATTTACTGCCTATTCTTTTTCACGGCAGGGTATGTTGCGGTCAATCGCATTGACAGATACTTGCTGACGGCAAAAGATCGATAGAACTAGTTGAGAGACAGTCGAAACCAAGGATCCGCATGGTGTGGTGGTGAACGCGTTACTCCCCGGAAAGGACAACAGCGCGTTCGTTCCCCACCGCAGACACCTGCGGTCCGGAGTTTTGCAAATATCTCAGCATTATAGAAGTTACTGTGAAACAATTTTCTGCATTATCACAACTGTAACGATTTGCATTGAGCTCAGTTCATACTGTGCAAGAGCGCCGTGAAAAGCTAAACTTGCTTTCTTTCGACAGTCTTCGAAAACTAGGCGTTGCCGTCACTATATTAAAGCCTAACGTGGCCTCATCAAGTACACTGGAAGACCAACACATTTACGGCTGAGGAAAACCAAATAGACAAGAAGGTCATCTTCACTGCAATTAACTGTAAACTACGAGTTCGCACCCTCATCTCCATCTCCGCCCGATATTTCACATCTCATGTTACAACCCAAGGGTAGCGCTATTCGTGTTTCATGCTCCCATCTAGGTTGGCCTCACTTAATATTAAAGGATGAAATCTTGCTATGGCAATAAAAAATCAATCAACACAGTGGGGATTACTCTGCAATACGAAGGATTCTCCATAAAAACATCCCAGTCCGGCATTCAAAGACATTTTCTGTTCGGAGCTCTCACCTCATTTGCCAAGTTCTGTATGACGGTGAACAGTTCGTCGTGCGTGAGTTGCTTTGCGGCAGTTTTAGTCCAAGCTTCTTGTTCAACACTGTGAACTGGTGCTGATGGGGTGTTATACTGAAGTTGTTCTTTTATTGGCGTGGTTTAAAAAATTTCAAAAATATGAAATAATTTTTACGCCATCGCAGTGTTGTCTAGAAAATTACGGTCGTAATCTTCGCCACTTTTGTAAGCGTTTGAAGTGCATTTTTCGATTATCTCTCTCGTATTTTAGCTATCTTGAAGCATGAACTATGTTCTACATAGACCTTGAATTTCTTTATTGTTAAGCCATTCTAGTTTAAATTTGGGCTAAAAAGGAATGAAAGACGTGAAAAAACACAGGAATGGCCAATAAGCTTAGCAACCCAAAGAAATATACCGCCTCATCTTGCTATAAGCAATAAGCTATAAGTGGTGTTGACTTGCAATATACCATGGAGGACGGATTTATCCCATCACTAGAATCCTTCAAGCTGCGGTTTCCTCCATTTCTATCCCGGAATCCAAGAACCAGATAAGAGTAGTCGTATTTCATGGCAGAGCCACCAAACTTCCCCTTGCTTGCTTGTCGTCAGAGCAAATAAAAAAGTTTGTTATATCAAAAAAAACGACGCCATTTGTTTCATTCGAGGGGAGTGGGACCCACTGTGAAGCTCTGATGTGTAGAAGGGGGAGAGTAATGGAGTTTGTCCACTGCTCGTTTGAATTAGTCAACGATCAACAGGATATAGAAAAGTGAAAGACTTCAGAAAAAGCTAGCAATTTGTTCTTTGCAGAAAGAATGAAGTAGAAACAAAACGTGGTGGCAATGAAAAGGTGAAAAACCTGGTAGAATGGTTTCAGATTTTTGTAGACTCGAATAAATGAACCAGATGCGACACCGATCGCTGGTAGAGTAGCCTGAATACGCTTGATACTTTTTCTCGGAAACTCATTGAAAATTCAAATGAGTTAAAAAGCGAAGGAAAAATGTCTGGCCGTATCACTTTTTCATTGTAGAAGGAAACGACAGCCGTCGGCATCTCGGCCAATGCGCATTCACCGACCACCGTCACACCTCTGATTACTTTCAACCGCAAGTTGAATCTTAAAAAACAATTGCCAAAGAGAATGGTCTAAGTAAACCTCTCGGTCAAATTCGAAATTTTTCTTAAGAACGAAAAATCCTGCCAGAACTGATTTCACTTCATCTTTCCGATCTCCAAAGAGGTGTTCATTAAGCCTATTGCGTTACCCTCGAACGCTTGATCCACTAATCAAAGAAACCGATGCCTCCTCAGTACTCGCTCAGCTTTGGGAAAATTCCATTGACAAGGTAGCAAACCTCTTTTTTGATTTAGAAGATCCTGCTTTTGTTAAAAACCCAGAATCCCCTAGCGTGGCTATCTGGGGATGCATTTGAGATATTACCCAAGAATGATGAGAGAACATCTCTTAATAACTCGAAAGACCGACTTTCTATGAACCTCGGCATAGATAGTTGATATATTTATTTATGTGATCTTATAAACTGATCTTCTTAAGCTGGCATAGGGCACAAAAGCACAACGGCGATGATTTTGAAGTGAATGTGCGGATCCTAGCGCAGGAATCAAAAACATCAACGCGCAAAACTCTTGAGACGTTTTGGATACATTTCAAAAATCCAGAGATGAACCGGAAGGACGAATGCCTCACTATCACTCGTGACCTGGCGCCCTATTTCAAAATGATATTTTGACCCCGGGGCGTGTCTTGCTCGCAACTCCACGTGAACTACGTGGGGGCCAGCCCCGCACGTTACATCACGGTGAGCGGCCTTTCTGTTCAATTTGGCGTCTGTTTGAAAGTTTGATCTTCATTAATACTTTAACCTTTTTTCCGCCGAATAATAAAAAGTATTCTAACGTAAAGTACGTCCAGACTCTGAGGAAGGCGAAGTCGCCGAAACGTCAGCCATCGTTCAATAACATCAAAAACAACGACGACGAAGATCTGTACCAACCTCGCGTCAGCTTAAGAAGATCAGTTTATAAGATCACATAAATAAATGATGAGAGAGTTATGCGGTAAGCGAAACACACGCGAACCCAACTATGGGACGGCGACTTTGAGGCTGGCGAGTATGTTTCTTTCTTAAGATTGGCATTGTGGTACGAGAGGTGGTTAGAGATGAACTCCATTGCACTCGTGGTCGTAGGTTTGACCTCGTCCACGATAACTTAGCATCCGACGCGCGACCACCTGTGGTGAAAACCTGGGGAACGCTCTAGCAGAAGTGTCCTAGAATTCCAAAGATTCAATACGTCGAATCGGAGCAAAGAAGTGTAGGAGTCGACGGATGGGAAATTTACTTACTTTCTTGGATACTTGGACGACCCGTCCTCACTAGTTGTGCGCGCTCCAGCATACTCTCCATTATTCGGAGTTTTGCTAGTTTAGCCATTCTCTTTCTCTGGAATCCCGAGGTCATCTTAGCCAAACAGTCGCCACCTTTGTAGATCAGAAAAAAATTTGCCACCATGCGACTAGCTTGATACCAGGACTGTGGTGGATCCTGGTATTGGTTTCCTCTTAGCTAGCCTTCCTCATGGAAACGCCGGGCCTCTTCTCAGCATGGGACACCCTGCCAGTGTCATGATTCCTACATCGCAGCCTGGTACTGAGGAACACCTCTCAGTCATGATGAGGCGTTAAACCGTTGGGAGTGATGAAAAATATAGATTAATTAATTGATTAATGACATATTTCGTTAAAGTTCAGGTAAAAAAGGCACTTAATGTTAATGAAGCCCTTGAAGATCAGAAGACTTCCTCAGCTTTAGAGCAACCGGCTCGAGGTTCTTTTCAGCTGCTGTCGTTGTCTCTGTGGTTCGATGACTGAGAAGGGATTCCACGAGTTCAGATACCACGTACTTAATCTCATGCAAGGCTTGCGGGCAGAATACACGGCGAAACGGGTCCTTTGTCAGCCACTTAGTGTCCACATAGAATGGCATCCAAATAGAAAACTTAAAATTTGATAAAGTGCTTGTATAGGTACACACAGGACACATAAGGACAATGGTGTTGGTTATAAAGTGACTGTCCGGACTCTAGCGCAAGAATCAAAAACGTCAACGCGCACTACTCTTGAGACGTTTTTGGACAAATTTCAAAAGTCCAAAGATAAACTGGAAAGGTGAATGCCCCATTATAACTTGTGATATAGAGCCTTTTTCAAACTGTTTTTTTGACCTGGATGGGTCCCACATACCACCCCATGTGAACAGCACACAGGTGCTCCCACATTCAACAACAGGATTAGAAACTTTTGAACAAAATGGCGTGCATTTAAAGTTAGATCTCCATTGATTCTAAAGATATTTTACCGAATCATATGGATATCGTTTCATAAAATATGTACAGGCTCTGAAGAAGAGGAAGTGACCGAAACGTCAGCCATCGGACTGCAGCAACAACAACAACTGATACCAACCTCGCGTCAGCTCAACAAGATCAGTTCATACGAATATGTATAGATATATCACTAATTATGCCGAGAGTTATAAAAAATTGACTTTTTAAATTATTCACAGTGGCCTATTCCTACTATTTATATGATCCAACTTCATACCACGTGTGCTGATCTCAACACTTTCATTCAATTCTTTGCCTCGCAACCTCTATGCGTAGTGGTTCTCTGGATTTGCACATGAGATCGACTGTTGGCTGAGGATTTTGCTCTTCTTTATGAATGTTGTTGATAACTCGTCGAATTGATTACACCTGCAATCTCGGAACAGCCGTGCGAACCCGCTCCCAGGTCTCCACCACAGGTTGTTGTCGCCGTCCTCTGCGAAGCGAAGAGAGCTTTTTATATACAGGTCTGATGGAAAATTGCCAACTTAGGAAGAATGGTGGATGGATGCTTGGTTGGACCAGTCCAGGGTGGAACCAAGGATCGATGACCATAGTAACATTAACCACTACGCTAGATGGATCCTCACATGGAAAATAATATTAAAAAATATAAAATATAAAATAAAACAAATTGTATCAAAAAATAAAAGAACAAAGCTCTCGGCATTGATCAATCCTTGAAGGACACGCCCCGCATTCGAGTTCATTAAGTATCGTTTGGGAAGACTGAATGCATATCCCGCTTTTACAATGACTAGCGGTGGCCGACCGATGTATGGAGCCACTTCTGCGATCCTCCCAGAGAAGTCTGGTAGCAATTTGCCGACCCTTGGCGGATAAAGACTTTGAAAATGAAAGCTAATGTGTTAAGAATGCGTCGCTTAGTTTGACTAAAGTTAATTATAGCCATAAAACATAGAAAAAATGGTCTATGATAATAACCCACTGCTTTGATATCAGTTATACAACTGATAGATTTTATACAAAAACACAAATACTATGGTAGAAAATGTTAAAAATATTCATCTCTCCGGGGTCAACAAATTGGTACCAGACTTGTCTGGGAGGATAGCAGCACTGGCTCGATACATCGGTAGGCCACCGCGAGTCATTGTAAAGGTTAGATATGCATTCAATTAGCTTCAAACGATGCTCAGTGAAATAGAATGGATGGCGCATTCATCAGGGATTGATCAACGCCGAGAGCCTTAGCTTCATTTATGTTGTTGTAGAATAAATAAAAGAAGGGATTAGAAATTTTAAGAACAGCTTCTTGAGTGAGGAGATTTATTACTATCATTTTTCATTTTTTGCGTTTTTTTTACAAAAAGAACGTTTATAGCAATAATTCAGTCCGCGCATTTACATTCTACAAAGCGCTTCTGCTTGTGAGCGTTTGCCATGGCAAAAATTGTGACAGATGTGTGATAGGTAAGAGAGCAGTTGTAAAAGAACCTACTTCGAGCCTCCAATATGTGCTACGACCAGCTTAGTATCACCATCGCCATACATGTCTGAAAGGCAGACACAGTTGGAGAATGTGAACACACCAGCCTGATCGTCGGATAACGCCGACACCCACTTGACGACGTCATCTGAAGTGGTCATCACGACACTGACACGTCTTCAGTGCCTAAAACTTCTGATCACGTTAAGAAAACGGCGATGGGGAAATCGATTCTGGGTTGAATGAGTGTTATGTTATCATAACTACTGCGAGGATCACTGCACATCACGCATTCGATTCGTACTCCTTTATGAATGCCGTCAATGTCGCAATGATCGAGTCGATTCTCCTTGAAATCTTTAGGATAACCGAGCTAGGGTTTTTCACCACTTGTGTTGGGGAACGCATTGAGGGTGGAGGTTACGAACGAGCACCTTCTTTTCTGAGAGTCTGCGTCACTAGCCACTGGAAAGAAGACCGAGCGCTTCTTTAATTCATACTATTATTACGACTGAAATCTCTTCAATCGTCATCACTGTTGAATGATGATAGAAATCGGGACGAGTTTTCACCTGAGTACATCCATTGTGACTCACATTAATACAATTATTAAACTCCAACGACAGATTCTATTAACCTCGGTATTGATCAAGTAATTCTTCGCATTCTTGTTGATCAAACGCGAGGTTTTATTTTTATTCTTTATTCACGAATAAGCTGACGTTTCGGCGGATTTCGCCTTCCTCAGAGCCTGGAGAGGTCAAGTTGACAGCAATCTATTCGGCCAAACACCTCCATAACCAAACAAAGAAAACGCTAAACCAAGATTTCAATCACAATGAACACAGTTTTGCACACTCACCGCTTTCTATGAGTCTTCCACTGAGTATGTCGCGTGAAGACTAGCCGCACAGAATTCACATAGAAGCGTAATGTGCCCCTCCCATCAGAATAACAAGCTTGCTTATATACTGCCCAATATCACGCGTGATAATGAGGCATTCTTCCCTGCGATTCATTTTCGGATTTCTGGAATTAATCCTGAAAGCCTCGAGAGTTTTGCACGCTTGTGTTCTCGATTCCAGTGCGAGGACTGTGACACGTGTTTCAAAGTCCACCTCGTTATGTCTCTGGGTCCTATGCGTGCCTAGTGAGGTATTTGGTTTGCCTTTGCCGACTAAGTTTTTTTTATGCGGACACAGAGGGCTCTGCCCGTTTCGTCAATGCATTCGTCTTCGCACGCCTTACAGGAGATCAGACAAACTGTACCCGAGCTCATGCAATCACCGTCTCTGCCCTTAAGGCAAATTATGCAATTTTGCGTTGAACATGGACGGTTATATAGACGGTTGCGAACTAGCTGGCGCCGAAGAGTACTCGGTGGCATTTCAACTACGTCTACCGAATTCTCTAGACCCGCTGTTCTTAAGCAGCGTTTTATAGCTGCACTTACATCATTTGGGTTGAAGGGTAGGATAAACGAGACCTTTTCATCGCCGGAGTTGTCGTTTGGAGGTCTAGGATTTTTCCTACACCTATTCTGAGCTACAGTTTCGTAGCCATTAGAAACGGCTATTTGCCTTGCCAAGTTCCGGGACTCCTCTCTCTGCTCTCTTCCCGTGCACACGTTGGTTGCTGTTCGAAACATGTTTCTTACAAGCGCCTTTTTCGTGTTAGAGAGGTGAGAGAAGAGGACATGAACAAACACGTTTTTACTACTTGGCCTTCGGTTCCACTTCGTAATGTAGCCATTTTCCGACAGGTTAATTTGGACGTTCAGGAATGGAAGCCAGCTTTTTTTCGGTTTCTCTCGGGTGAACTTGATATACTTTGACTGTTCGTTCAACAACTCGAAACATTTGTTCATTTCTTCTTGTGTTGAGCAAAGAAGAAAACAGTCATCTATATAACTACAGTAGTGTAACGGCCCGAGATCGGTCACCGGTGCTTCCACCTTAGACTTAAAGCAATGGAAAGACTTGGTGCCAGTCGTTGTCCCATTGCCAACTCTCTTATTTGAGCTTAATACTTTCCGAACCACCTGAAGATTGAGCAGCTCGAGCATTATTTTAAAAGTGCCATCAAGTGCTCTATCTTGAAGCCATATGTGTTTATTTCTTCTTCGTGTTGTGTAAGGAGTTCGAATATGATTTGCATTGCGAAGTCATTCGACACGTTTGTATAAAGGGCGGTAACGTCGAAGGACTCCATCACGTACGGGCTGCTGGGCTGCGCAGTACGTAGACGATCCATAAACATCTGGGTATTCGTAAAAAAGGTTGGAATGTGTTTCAACAACTGGTTAAATGTTAGGAAAACCATGTTAGCCTGTCCGTTGGCCCGTCTAAGGTGGAAGCACCGGTGACCGATCTCGGGCCACTACTCAACTGTGGATATATACATGACTGTTTTGTCCCTTGCTCAACACAAGAAATAGACAAATGTCTCGAGGTTTTGAATGAGCAGTCAGAGTATATCAAGTTCACCCGAGAGAAACCGAGAGAAAGCTGGCTTCCATTCCTGAACGTCCATCCAGATTAACCTGTCAGAAAATAGTACATTACGAAGTGGAACCGAAAGCCAAGTAGTAAAAACATCTTGGTTCACTACCTTTCCTTTCACTCCTCTCACACGAAAAGGGCGCTTGTAAGAAACATGTTTCGAACAGCAACCAATGTGTGCACGAGAAGAGAGCAGAGAGAGGAATCCCGGAACTTGGTGCGGCAAATAGCCATTTCTAATGACTAAGAAACTGTAGCTCAGGATAGGTGTAGGAAAAATCCTAGACCTCCAAACGACAACTCCGGCGATGAAAAGGTCCCGTTTATCCTACCCTTCAACCCAAGTGATGTAAGTGCAGCTATAAAACGCTGCTTAAGAACAGCGGGTCTAGAGAATTCGGTAGACGTAGTTGAAATGCCACCGAGTAATCTTAGGCGCTAACTAGCCCGCTACCGCCTATATGACCGTCTATGTGCAACGCAAAATTGCATAATTTGCCTTAATGGCAGAGACGGTGACTGCATGAGCTCGGGTACAGTTTGTCTGATCTCCTGTAAGGCGTGCGAAGACGAATGCATTGACGAAACGGGCAGAGCCCTCTGTGTCCGCTTAAAAGAAAACCTAGTCGGCAAAGGCAAACCAAATGCTTCACTAGGCACGCATAGGACCCAGAGACGTAACGGGGAGGACTTTGAAATACGTGTCACAGTCCTCGCACTGGAATCGAGAACACAAGCGTGCAAAACTCTCGAGGCGTTCAGGATTAATTCCAGAAATCCGAAAATGAACCGCAGGGAAGAATGCCTCATTATCACGCGTGATATTGGGCAGTATATAAGCAAGCCTGTTATTCTGATGGGAGCACATTACGCTTCCATGTGAATTTTGTGCGGCTGGTCTTCACGCGACATACTTAGTGGAAGACTCATAGAAAGCGGTGAGTGTGCAAAGCTGTGTTCAATGTGATTGAAATCTTGGTTTGGCGTTCTCTCTGTTTGGTTATCGAGGTGTTTGGCCGAATAGTTTGCTGTCAACTTGACCTCTCCAAGCTCTGAGGAAGGCGAAATCCGCCGAAACGTCAGCTTATTCGTGAATAAAGAATAAAAATAAAACCTCGCGTTTGCTCAACAAGAATACGAAGAATACGAAGAATTGCTCATTAAATGGTCCAAATTGAAATTTAAAAAACCAACTGCAACTTTGTGTTTTTACAACTTAAGTTAGCAGTAATCGTTGTGGCGACTTGGAGGTTCGGTCGCGCAACAAGATACTAAAAAAAATTAGGAAAATCGAAAAATGAATTTTTCAAATGAACGATTGTCGCCGTTAACGCAATTCATCGAAAACCACGTAACTACAGGTTGAAAGTTCAATCTTGACTCATTATGGATGTTTTCAGCTTAGCAATAACCACATCTATTCCACCAATATGAATCTTTCATAACTCAAAAAGTTCCCACCGAAAGGAAAGCACGTATATCAAAAGTGCAGAAAGTAATCCCGTTTCATGAATGAAGTACACAGATGCTGCTAAGGCCAAAGGAGATTTATGATCCGCCTTGGGATGATTGTACATTAACTAGTTTTCCTTCCTCTTCAAATATCTACGAGAAAGTCGCAGACAAAACAGTGATACCAACGCTGTTCAGCGCTTCCAAGGCCTATTTAGATCGCTATGAACACCATAATTTAACAGCGTGTCTTTGCAACAAAGGCTCCAATCCCTCCAGGGCCACTGAACTCGAAACAGATTCGTCAGCAAATAGCCTATCTGATCCAAAATGTAAGGCAGACCCTTACAAGGAAGACCTGGGAATGTGGATTTAAGGCTATTCATCGATTCTGTGGAGGTCTGTGGACTCGACTAACAACCTATGGCATTCATAAAGAAAGTAAAGTATTCTAAAGCAGAAATCCACACGAAGAAATGCGAAGATTTTGTGAACGAGGGAAGCGAGAAGACGAATCAGATAAGAACAACGCAGTGACGAGCAAAATATGTGCTGGTAGGTTGTGTAAAAAGAATAAAATTGAATCGATATCTGATAAATATCGCTATAAATTAATATTGGTGGCAAGTAGTTATTTAGAAATATAGACATGAGAATTGACAAAATCGCGGTAAAAACACTGCCCGTTTTTGAACAGGAGGTCAACTCACTGAAATCCTCGCCAATGGTGGTGAGAAGCAGGACATGTTGGCAGTTGTCATGGTGATGGCGACGAAAGCGGGGCTCATATTTGAACTCATGAGGCAGTGAAAAAGATTTCAAACATTAAAAAATTATCTTCTATGCAAAAGCAATTATTTTACAACACGTGTTCGGTGTTTTCTTTCCCTTTCTCTCTAATTCTCTGTCCCTTATTTCCGTTCTCTTCTTCCCTCTCTTTTAAAAGCTTCCTCCTACACCTTGATTTTTCAGGTTTACTATCCACGATTCTCCTTGTTCCTTTCATTTACCTGTGATTTCATATGCGTTTAAGAATTTATTTCCTTTTATACCTACTTTATTAACGCCTATCTCTCTAGGATGACAAATGGGAAGCTGAACAAGACTGTTGTGACTATAGCAAATCCCAGGACTAACTTTCTTATTAATCTCGGTATCAATCCATAGTTCACTGTTTTTTTTTGACGAGCAGACGCGATGTTGTTAGTACGGCATTTATTCACTCCAAATAGCCTCCCTATTGGTGGAATCGTCTTCTTCAGAATATGGGATGGTTAAATTGACATGCAGTTTGCTCAACCAGACACTTTAATAACCTCAGCTGACAAATCTTAATGCAATCACATAATAAACAGCTTCTTTGAAACCTTCGCTGTTTCTAAAAAAAGACCTTCCTTTAACCTCGGTATAACTGATCGATACGTATACTTTCTTTATAAACTAACGCAAGGTTAATTAATAAACAACCTTCTTTGACCTGGGCCAGGCACATTCCCCGTCAATTCTGTATGGCCGGTCCTCATTAAATAACCTGTAGCTTTGCGAAGAAAAAAGCATTGAATGTTTAGAAAAGCTTTCTACTTATGCGAATGGAAATTAACGTATTAAGCTTTATTTGCTGAGGTTATGGATGTGCTTACTGAATAGACTGCGTGTTAATTTATTCCTTCCAGGCTTGAAGAACGTGAGACCGCCGAAGCGTCAGCTATTTTCAATTAGTGAATGCTGTAATAATACCTTCGTTTCTGTTTCTGCTCTTCAAAAAAACTGGATTATTATGACTCCACTAGTAGTAGCTAGGAGGTTAAATATGGTCCAAAAGAAACTACATACCTGTCCTGAGACAAAGGTATCTCAAACATATTCATTTTAACGTTCGTGGATGTACCTGGTTGCATTGCACTTGTATTTTGGACAACACCAAGTTAAATCCTCGTGCGCAAAAATCAATGGGAAGAACAATGGGAAACGATTCGAGATCGATTGCCCACAATGAATGGATTTCATAGCCTTTACGTGTTCGGTTGGATGATCATAAGTGTATTCATTCACTACACTAAGACCCAACAAGCTCTCCCCGAGGTGTGTCATCTACCGGATAGAGAAGCAACCTGACATAAATGCGCTGTGAAGAACGAGGAGCATGGTGAGAATCATCTCAGAGCATTATGAGCTATGATCACAACCTGTAATGAAACTCATCTACGGATGTAGGATGGAGCTTCTAGTGCATATTTTTCATATGAATCAAATATGATATCATCAAACCGAACTTTATAGAATCTTCTACGACTTTATCGGAGTGATCGAAACGAGAACACTTCGCTTGTCATACTCATCTCTTGTGATACAGTATAGAACAACAACTCATTAGCATGCGGTAGTAAAGGACAACGAACTCGCTCACATTCTTATGAACAACTAATCAATCGAATTGGACTTTTACAGTTAAAAGGTTTGAATCAGTGCCGTCTTTGATAGACTTCATCACACAACATCAAGCTCTGATGAAGACAAGACCAAGACATTTCATTTGCACATGCAGATTTCCTACAGAGTGGACCATACAGTGTAAATTCCCGCTTCAAAGTCATAACTGCCCTTATGAGGACGTCTTATAATAACTATATATCAGAATTCCTTGCGTTCTCCACTCCAGAGTATCTCACAGTAGTAGATATGATCTTGCCTGCCCTCTCCGTCTCTAAGAATGATTTTCCTCGCAATCTACATTAACTAACACCCTTTGACTCCTCCATGGGTAATTGATATCTAATCGTAGTATTCGTAACATAATTGTGTCAGGAACTTATGGCGAAGCTTACAGGAAAACACTACGTCTACATTAGCCACCGTTTCGATGAATTCTTCAGAACCTTAATTAATCGAGTCACGTATGCCCAGCTATTTCTTGCTACTTAGGCCTTTGTTGTCACATCTAGTCGGATCATGTGCTTTTTTTAGTTTTATATACCAACCCGAAAGACCGACTTTCTATAAACTTCGGCATAGATAGTTGATATATTTATTTGTATGACCTTATAAACTAATCTTCCTAAGCTGACGCGAGATTGGTACAGGTCTTCGTTGTCGTTGTTGTTGATGTTGTTGGCCGATGGCTGACGTTTCGGCGACTTCGCCTTCCTCAGAGCCTGGACGTATTTTATATTAGGATGTTTTTATTATTCGGTGGAAAAGAAGGCTAAAGTATTAATAAAGATCAAACTTTCAAATTGGCGCCATATTGAACAGAAAGGCCACTCACCGTGATGTTACGTGTGGGACTGGCCCACACGTAGTTCACTTGGGGTCGCGAACAAGACACACCCCGAGGTCAAAATATCATTTTGAAATAGGGCTCCAGGTCACGGGTGATAGTGAAACATTCGTCCTTCCGGTTCAACTTTGGATTTTTGAAATTTATCCAAAACGCCTCAAGAGTTTTGCGCGTTGATGTTTTGATTCCTGCGCTAGGATCCGCACATTCACTTCAAAACCATCGCTGTTGTGCTTTTGTGCCCTATGCGTACCTAGAGGAGTGTTTAGACGGATTTCAGCTTTTCCATCTAGATGTTCTTTTATGCGGACATTGTACCAACCTCGCGTCCGCTTAAGAAGATCAGTTTATAAGATCATATAAATATATATACCAACCTTTTTATAAAGGACGCGAGTGGCACAGTGGTTGGAGGCACCACTGCGACACACACGTGGAATCGAGCCCACGACCATGGCCCACCAAGCCTTCTATCACTTCGGGGTCGGCAAATTGTTACCAGACTTATTCGGGAGGATAGCAGCACTGGCTCGATACATCGGTAGTTCATCGCGAGTCATTGTAAAGGCCAGATATGCATTCAATCGCCTCCAACGATACTTAATAAAGTTTAATGCATGACGCATCCGAGGAATTGATCAACGCAGAAAGCTTTATCCTTTTATAGCAATTTCAGCTCGGCTCTGTCATGCAGATTGTGCAATTTTTTGTTCTTTTGCATGGCTCTGGGAAGATGTCATTGTCTGCTATATCGATGAGAAATATGATCAGAATAGTTGGATTAGAACAACTTCACAATAATGCTTGGAAAGTTCAGAATGCTGAAGTACCAAGGAACATCTGCCTCCGTAAACTCGCGGCTGACATGCCAGATCTGCTGTGATGCGATGAAAGGAACAATAAAAACAAGCATGTTTTAACCATTTTTTAAAATTTTACATGACCCGACACATCACATGTTATGCAGACCTCAGTTACTCTGGGCTCTTTTCCTTGCATTCGTATTCCACGAAGGTCTTCGAATTTCATCTATCTTCGGTCACTGCTTGAGGATTTTTAATTTTCAGAATGTTGTTGACTGTTGATCGAGTCGTTCTCTATGTAATCTTAGGATATTCGTCCTATGAAGTTCCCACATCTTTGCTACAGAAAGTCGTCAGTCCTGTTGGATTTCAGGGAGGAGATGAATCCAGACAAGTCCGGTGTCAATCCCCGATTATGGAAGGATAGTAGGCTTGATTGGCCAGGACAGAGTAGCCTTACGCATATTGAACAATAATATTGTCAGTACACTAACTGATTCCAAAACGAACAAAAAAGGCATAAAATTGGGAAAACAATGATTCAGAATTCAGCTGTAGACGGCAAGAGAGCGTCCATGCCCATCATGATTTCGTCAATAACACGACCGTGATCATCGCTCACCAGAATCCGAAAGGAACCATTATTTCGGCAAGGGGCAATAGAGAAGCTGACCGAGAAACTGTACATCAGTCTTTACAGCTTCCTCCACCAGCTGATGCCAAAACAATGAACCCGTTACCTCCATAAACGCGTTGAACTTGTTAATTAAAAGGCAGCGCTTGTAATGCAAGCGGTGAGCAGAGGTTCGAAAATTACTCGTTCTGATGGATAATATCGATACGATAGTGAAACCTACAGAAGGACTGTTAGAGGACGAGACATCGTTATGTCTCAAAATTGCAAAAGATTCTAATTCTACCGGCATACAACCAGTATTCGGAACAGCCATTAGAACTTTGAACAAACAAGGCATGCATATTCAGCGCATAAAGATCCTTCATAGGCTACAAAGTTGCAACACGTATTCCCAAAACACTTCGAACATTCCACGACCAGAGATCGTCTTCAACGACTTAAGCAAATATTTTCGATAATGTGACACCATTGCATCAAAATTATTCGACACCACCCGAGCACACTGAGACAACTGAAATATGACGACATGGGAGCGAAAGACGAGAGGAGGCGGTTTCATCAACGTTGGAATCGCTGATGGCGACGTTCCCATCACATCTATTGTTTAGCCTTGCGAAATTGATACTGAGCGATTTTGACGTTTGTGAAGAGATTGGTCATTGACTGAATCTCAGGAAGGCGATGTTCCGGCGGAACAAAGCACTGCCTCCCACACTTCCCTCATATCTATCATTTATGCTAAAAAGAAACGAACGCGATTCTAAAGAATTACGGAAACGACGACCTTTTAAGACATTACGGATTACCGACGGTGCCTGTAGCATCGTTGGCTTGACCCAGCGCCCTAGACAACCCAACCTTTCTATCACTCTGGGATCGACAAACTGGCGTCGGACAAAACCGCGAGGATAAAAACTCTGGTTGCCATTCCATTGGTCAAACATGCACTCGATCATGTGTACGAATGGAGATGAATGAACGGGGCTCCTAAACAACTAGTAAACACCGAATGCTTTTGCAGATTACCTCTCCTTAGTAGAAAAGAAAAACGTGAGCGAGTTTTATTTAAAAAAAAAAAACAAGAAAAAGCGACCAATTCAAAAAAAATCGAAAACATCAAATAATGGAACAAAATGAAAGTGAGAGTTCATCCCGAATATAACGGTTTTGTCTATAATAAAGCTTAAATACAATTCATATGCGTTAAATTGGATATGGATATCGACGAAATGGAGAAGGCTCGAGAGAGAGAGAGGGAGAGAGAGCAATTTGTGACGTCATACTTCTGCAGTGCAGAAGCGAGCAGTGCTTTGTATATGTCAAGCGGTGATGAGAGCAGCTGCACAAGTGGAAGACGTTCACGCGATGATGTGTTCCGGTGCTTTTCGTATAAAGCAGTACCAGACAGCATGAATGTAGGCCGGAATGATGAAGAAGAACATCAGGAACAAACTGATCACCACGTGAATGTTGCACTCGTTCGCTTGTACTGCGATCGCTGCTGGCTGAAAAAATGAAAAACCGAAAATGAAGAGTGCAATCCTTTAAACATAGCAACAATGATACTGAGATATTGGCAAAACCTCGGACAGCAAGTGTTTTCGGTACGGATCGAACCCGCTACTACTCTTTCCAAGGGCTAACGTGTTCACCACCACAACATGCGGGTCCTTCGCTTACCCTTTCTCTCAGCCATATTTTAACCTATAGGTGCTATCAACAATCATCCGTCCTCAGGACTGATCTGGAAAGCACAAATCGGCATCGAACCCAGTTAAGCTAAACCTTTAGTATAAACCACAATGTAGTCATTTTTTATTCACTGCTTATTCTTTTTTTTACATTCCATATCACACCCTGCCATGAGAGAAGAATAGGCAGCACATAAAAAGAAGTGACACCTTTAAATATAGTTTTAAGCACAAAGTATCCTAATGACAATAACCTTGTGACGATGGTGGTAGTGGTGGTAATAATGATAGCGATTATAACAGAACTGGTAAGGACGGCACAATGGTAGTGGTATCAGAACCGATAAAAATAACAAGAACAATAATATTGATAATTATAACGGTAACAACAATAGTTGGAACAGGTACAGTAGTTCCATAAGAATAGTGAGAGTAACAGTACTAGTAATAAGAACAACAACAATAACAGTGAACAGAAGTTACTAGAATTGACACATAGTAAATACCTGCTGGGGCACTTAAACGGCCCATCCGCACTGACTGTTTGGACACCAGCACAATTTCCATTTTTCGGAGTACTGCTGGTTTAGCCATTGTGGTTCCCTGGGGTGCTGAGGTCAGCCAGGCCAAAGTTTGCCCCAGGTTGTCATCACCACAGGCGGCCGCCTCACTTGTGTTAGAGGGAGATTTGCCGCCATGCTACTAGCTTGATACCAGGACGGTAGTGGATCTTGGCATTGGTTTATTCTAAGCAGGGCTTCCTGGTGGACACGCCGAACTCCTTCTCAGCTTGGAAGACCCTGCCGGAGAGATGAACCCCCACACTGTACATCGTAGCCTGACACCCGGGAACACCTCCCAGCCACGATGAGGCGGTACGCCGTTGGGAGGCATGGTAAATATGACATTTATTTACAAGTGGCTAAAAATAAAACGATACAAACGCAAATAACAAAAAGTAAATAGAAAGAAGTTCAATGAACCAAAACGATGTAAGTTAAATGCTATTCGGAAAAATTATTCTCCTTTAAAACTTCCTTTTCGAACTTCTTTCACTTAACTATTATTATAACTTTTCACTCACTACCTATTATTTTTTCATGCCATGGTTCTACGTGAAATACAGCCATATTGACGTTGTAATATTTGCGAGATTGGTTGAGATTTCAGTGGTGCAGTGGGTAACTCGTGAATCCCAGGAAAGTCGCAGGTTCAGATCCGGTCTGCCGACCAACTTTTGCGAACGTCTCACCATCACTGTTGTTAAATACCAGAAGTTCAAATTACGATAGGAACACCGAACACTATTCTTCTACAAAACCATTTATCCTCTAAGTCATTATTTCTTATGGTTTTATCGATCCATCCGATAGCTGAATTTTACAAAGGTAAATTTTTCCAGCAAACATTTTGTATTTTAAATTTTTTGCTTCCATTAATGGACAACTATACTGTGCTGGATAACCAACGACGTGCCGTCGTGGTCATACGTCAGCGGAACGTGGAATCAGACGGCACCACGTCGGGTCGTACACCGAAAATCTGAGACATCAGAATGCGTCAGCATTGCGGAAAGACAGATTCGTCACCTACCGGAAAGATGATGATCAGCACGATGATCAACACCGTTTTAATGAGTTCGTCACGTCGTCGATTATCGACAACAAACACTTGACCTTCGGACTTCTCTGACATTCTGAAAGTAAGAAGAAATAATCGATAAATCGATAAACCAGTACGACATATACGAATGTGGGCGTAGCTACCAACAAATAGACAAAGTGAAGAGCAGATGATTCACTCTACACTATTAAACACCTTCAGCAAGCAATAGTGAAATAGGTGCGTATTGATTTTATTGAAGTCGGCGCTAATGCTATCGTATTAATTATGGTCACCGAGCATACTCAACAATCCACGGTAGCGGACAGGCCAGAACTACCCATGGTTAGGTCTCTTGAGCAAAAACCGTTAAAATAAAGGGTTTCATACCGTTGGAGTCACAGCTGCAGCTATCACGCTACCAGCTGTGGCACACGACATCGGGCATAGGTGATAGAGACCTCAGTGATACCTCGAATTAACTCGATGGTTGAACGACTCAGAATTTATAAGTGACAGTACCACTAATACCATCGATCAGTCACTATTGGTTACAGCTATAGCAAAGCAACATAGAGTGGTACCAATCAATAATCCATCACGTATTGATACTTCCTGGAGAGAACTCAATGGGTAGACTGAGATTGTAAGGAAATGGTTGCTCGTTGGAATAAATAAGAACTACTTTGATTAAGTACGGTTCATCTTTTATTGAGTTGTTTAATCGCCTACAGAATTACTAGACTTGCAAACAATTTAAGAATTTTACGGTCCTTAAAAGAATTACAGAAAGAAAAATTCCAAGCTGAAAAGCTGTTCACCATACACTTTGAAGAAAGCAGGACAATAAGAAAAAGTAAGTGAAGATGGCACTCTTAAAAGGATGCTTGAGCTGCTCAATCTTCAGATGGTCCGGAAAGTACTACGCTCAAATAAGAGGGATGGCTATGAGACAACGACTGGCACCAAGTCTTGTCAATGCGTTTATGTCTAAGGTGGAAGCACCAGTGACCGATCTCGGGCCACTACTCAACTGTAGATATATACATGACTGTTTTGTCCCTTGCTCAACACAAGAGGAAATGGACAAATGTTTCGAATTGTTGAATGAACAGTCAGAATATATCAAGTTCACCCGAGAGAAACCGAGAGAAAACTGGCTTCCATTCCTGAACTTCCAGATTCACCTATCAGAAAATGGTTACATTACGAAGTGGTACCGAAAGCCAAGTAGTAAAAACATCTTGGTTCACTACCTTTCCTTTCACTCCTCTCACACGAAAAGGGCGCTTCTAAGAAACATGTTTCGACAGCAACCAATGTGTGCATGGGAAGAGAGCAGGGAGAGGAATCCCGGAACTTGGTGCGGCAAATAGACATTTCTAATGACTAAGAAACCGTAGCTCGGGATACGTGTAGGGGAAATCGGAGCCCCCCAAACGACAACTCCAGCGTTGAAAGGTCCCGTTTATCCTACCCTTCATCTCAAATGATGTAAGTGCAGCTATAAAACGCTGCTTAAGAATGGCGGGTCTAGAGAATTCGGTAGACGTAGTTGAAATGCCACCGAGTAATCTTAGGCGCTAACTAGCCCGCAACCGCCTATATGACCGTCTATGTGCAACGCAAAATTGCATAATTTGCCTTAATGGCAGAGACGGTGATTGCATGATCTACTGTAAGGCGTGCGAAGACGAATACATTGACGAAACGGGCAGAGCCCTCTGTGTCTGCATAAAAGAAAACCTAGTCGGCAAAGGCAAACCAAATACCTCACTAGGCACGCATAGGACCCAGAGACATAACGGGGTGGACTTTGAAACACGTGTCACAGTCCTCGCACTGGAATCGAGAACACAAGCGTGCAAAACTCTCGAGGCTTTCAGGATTAATTCCAGAAATCCGAAAATAAATCGCAGGGAAGAATGCCTCATTATCACGCGTGATATTGGGCAGTATATAAGCAAGCCTGTTATTCTGATGGGAGCACATTACGCTTCCATGTGAATTCTGTGCGGCTGGTCTTCACGCGACATACTTAGTGGAAGCCTCATAGAAAGCGGTGAGTGTGCAAAGCTGTGTTCAATGTGATTGAAATCTTGGTTTAGCGTTTTCTCTGTTTGGTTATGGAAGTGTTCGGCCGAATAGATCACTGTCAACTTGTCCTTTCCAGGCTCTGAGGAAGGCAAAATCCGCCGAAATGTCAGCTTATTCGTGAATAAAGAATAAAAATAACACCTCGGGTTTGCTCAACAAGAATACGAAGTAAGTGAAGACTCAAACACTATTCATTTTCGTAGTGATATCTGTATTATGGGCTAGTGTGGCGCAGTAGTTCGAAGCGCCACTGTGACACGCACGTGGAGTCGATCCGCGCGCCCATGGCCCACCAAGCCCTTCGTCCCTCCGGGTTCGGCAAATTGAAACCAGACTTGTCTGGGAGGATAGCAGCACTGGCTGGATACATCGATACGCCACCGCGAGTGTTATTTTATTTACCTGTATTAAGCGTTCTCTCTCCTAAACTGATTGATTTACGTAATAAAGAAATAAAAAGACAAAAGGATAAAGCTCTCTGCATTGATCAATCCCTGAGGTGTGCGCCATACATGCTACTTCATTAAGCATCGTTTGGAGGTGACTGAATGCATATCTGGCCTTTACAATGACTCGCGGTGGCCCACCGATGTATTGAGCCAGTGCTGCTATCCTCCTCGACAAATCTGGCACCAGTTTGCTGACCCCGGAGGGATGGAAGTCTTAGCGGGCCATAGGCGCTGGGATCAATCCCTTCGACCACTGCCCCACACGCGTCCTGAATAAGGAAATAATTATGCAGATCTATGAATCGGCTCGTTTCTTCTTCTCTCCATTCTCGACTGTACTACGTCATCTTTGCCATTAATTAGGGAAGAATTAGAAAATTGAATAAAATTTCCTTGAGAAAACCCTAAGGATAAAAACATAATTATAAATTGAGCTGGATATAATTGAAAACACTGTTAATTCATAGATTTGGCCAAAATATGGCTAAAAAGAGACGTCAGGGAATGTTCTGCATGACGGAAGATGGTTTCATCGAAAAAAGAGTTGTGAAGAACAACTAAGGAAAGAGTTCTGGAGAAGAATTCCGATGTAAATCTTCACAAAGAAGGCTGCTGCGTGATACAGATTTTGGATAAAACGGCTCGTTACAAATACTATATTGTCTACAGAGGAACAGCATTGTAGAATAGAGAATGAAAGGAAGGGATGTGAAATATTTTTAAGGACAGTCTCCATTGCCCATTTTATAACAAACCAGCGAATTTTTTGTAGAAAATTGTGATTCTTTTTATTCTGCCAAGTCGAATAGGATAGGGAGAAGGGGGTGGCAGGAGGTGGGGTGGGAGGGAGGTCGAGGGATGGAGACGGAGTGGGAGTGTCCTTGGTGACGACGACTAGAGTGGGGTCTACGCGCACGAAACTCAAATAATGAGCGGTACGTTAAGATGAGAGTTTTCTGGACCCGCGCCAACAAAACCACACTTCTGGAGTGGTCCCAAGGATTCGAATTTCAATGGAATGGAAGACGAATGTGAACATGTGGGTGACTTGTCCTGTCGCCTACAACTCGTCCCAAGCCTCAGCACTGCTTGCTTGCACTTTTTCATTAGGTGGTAATCTTCGATCATGCACATTTCATAGATGAGGACTACGTGAACTCTTCATATTCTCCTCTAAAACGTGCTGTATCTCCATGGTCTTTACTAGAAGACATCACCATAATATGCGTCATTAGAAGACGTTCACGATGTTGCTGTACACCACAACACGTGAAATTTGTAACAATCGCCAGAAAATCCCCATTGTTTTAAAGCAGAGGGATATTCAATTGATCTGAGGGTTTCGGCCAAATACGAAGAATCAAACAAGTACGTAGAAACACTGAACTAATGCACCTAATAAAAAAAAGAACGAATAAAAGCAGAGGAATTGCAAGGTCTTTCTGTTGAAACGTGAAAGTTTAAAACCCTGTCAGATTAACCAAGGAGAAATCAAGCGATAAAGAATGATGAAGGCAGAGTTTCCAACAAAAACGATCGAACTTTCTAGCTTTTTTTTATTAATCACCTCTTTGCTAATAAAATGAATATAATGATGGCGATGTGTTTTCGTGATGAAACGTTCTCGTCCTCGACTGAGTAGATAGAACTCCTACTCAACTAGCACCCTCACCCTTCGACTGCCTACCCCAACCCAAATGCGTCGTGTTTTCATCGTACCTGGAGGAAAGGGATGCTCTTGCGTGCCGTACTGCAGTCCCCGGTAGGGTAGTTCGTCGCCATGTTCACAGACTCAATCAGGCCTGTTCAATAACAGTTTGAGATTCATCTTCTTTAGATGATGCGGTAGTAAAGCAATGTTATTAATCAACCGGGACGCAAACAAAGAATAGTTAGAGATGTCCTGCAACAAACACATAGTCGTTGGTTCGCACCCGTGGTTCAGCAAGCTTCCCATGCCTCCGGGGTTATCAAATTAACAGTATCTATAAGAATGCAAGCACTGTCTCGATAGATATACGTGGTTCCGTAAGTCATTGTATAGCCCAAATATGCATTAATCATGCACAGCACACACGTTTACGACGCTATGAATGAATTCGGATGCATAGCACATCACCAAAGGATTGGGCAACAGCGGACGTTTTATGCTCTACTCTTATCAATCCCAAGCCGTTCTAGAACAAACCTCGTAGCCAGACAACTCATTCTGACGCAACAAAAACCGATGACTCTCTATGGCGAAGATGTGGGAGCGCTCTAGCCCAGACATTTCTGGTGAGACTCCAGAAAAAAAACAATTACTCAGCGAAAAAATGTCAGCTTGATGGGTTTTATGAAAAAGTTCGGACGATTCGTGACAACTTTTCACCCAACAAGATTTGAAATCAACTGAATGTTCAGCTTCGACAAAAGTTCAGCATAACTCTCCTTATGAAAACAGGACACCCCATCAGCAGGTATCAATTCTACCTGCAATGCTGAATCCTTACACAAAAGAGATTTTTGCTAAGAAAAAATCACTGCATTTCTTCAAGGACTAGTTCT